TGCAACAGCTTTGGCTGCGGTTCCTACAAGCATGTGGTCCTGCCACCTATAATTTACATTGAGCATAAATGAGTTTCCTTTGTAGACACTGCCTCTTCTAGATAGACTCATATACTGTACTCTTTTTCTTTCACTATCTTCTTCTCTCTTCCTCTCTCTTTTACACACACATGCACACACCTAATCATATATGCAGCTGGCGTAATAATATGGCAGGGTGCAGACAGTACTGGAATAACTACTGAGACAGGGTGATATTTCATAACCCCAATAATTGGATACGTCTCTATTCTCTAATTACTAGCTAAATCATGTAAGCCGCGGTGCCATACCACGCAGATAAAACAGACTGACGCACACATGTTCGCGGCCAACTGTCCACAAATTTATGTACAAATGGAGTCGTGTCTACCTCACATGTGAACGATGAGAGACTCACAAACCAGTGTGCACACAAATGCATGTCTGTCTTTTGTAGTTACAACAGCGCAACAGTACATATAGCAGCTCATCCCACTAATGGATCCTGTAGTGCTGTACCCCTGCAAACTGTGACAAATGCGTCATAGTATTATGGACAAAGAGGCTGAGAAAGTTTTCAATATATGCAATATAAATGGAGTGTCTTTTGAAAAAGAAACAACACTACATCAAGTCATAAACCCCTGAGGCACAAAAGGTGTTTGTGTTCATGTGGAGTTGCTCTTGTGGGGTATGGAAAGACATTTTAAAGACCTGCATGCTGTATATCATTTGCTACATTTGTGGCATTTTAGGATTTTATCCTTTAAATGACTAAAATAGCATATAAGAGATCACCTTTTTCTCAGTTTCTCGCTTCAACTAAAACACCAAGGTAGAGGAGAATACAATGTAAGCTTTTTGTGATACTCTATTGATCCCCGCGGACAGAATAATCTTTTTGCTTGTGCCTTTCCAGGCAGGTCAAAGACCAGGGTCAGCTAAAGAGCAGTGTCAGGTAAAATTACTACTGCTCTTGGGTGCCAGGTTTTTGTAGTTGTTGGAGACAGCCTGCTCAGTATAAGAAACAGTTAAGTGATTACGTAAAGAGCCAAACATTACATTCTGCAGAAGAGTCAGGCAGCGCATAAAGGTTGCAGCTGCATAAAATTACTCAGCAATTACCTTCTCTGTCTTTGTGACATACTGTACCATGTCCCACATGTAAGTGCTGGATGAAAGTTATTTACTTCATCAGTATTACATGTGTATATATTTGGGATTGTTATTGCTGTAATTAATATAATCACTTTGTATTTATTTCAGCCTTAAACTTGTCAACCTATAGTTACTGGGAGATATTGGCGATATGATGTTGGTCTGTAACATCTTATATGTCGCTAAAGGAACGCTAATCATACTAAGACAGACACAAATGACTGCTGCCGTTTTCGGTCATTTATATCACCTGAAAAATATGAAAATATGTGATTATATGAGTATGCATTGCAGTTATATCTTTTCATCATATCATTTCTGACTATACAGACGGTAGGCATTAACACATCATCGTCAAAATCCATAATCCTTGTGAAGTTTTCTTCTAGATTATTATTCCTTAATCAGAGCATAATGTTCTAGTGATTGGAAATTGATAGCAATGATGCTTGAGTCTTTCCATAGTTATACACTTGGTTGCACAAAATAAAACATTTACCGTGGCTCCACTGTAGCTACATTAATGTATAGAAATCATACATTTTTAAACATTTATTGAACCTCAGTATTTCTGCTGACAACATTGTTTCAAAGGAACCTGCTCAAAGACATGTTACAACGCAATGAATCAGGATTTCTGTGCATGGTGGATGGTGGCGAGCCATGGAATGTTTGTGAAACTAATCCCTTGGGCAGAGACTGTCCAATGGTGGTTGGACAACCATTAACTATCAGACACAGCAGAGTTGTGGACAGTGGTCAGATACCAACTATAATCTGGTCAGATACCAACAAAGTGTCTGGTGACTGTTGTCTTTTTGTAGCCTTCTCTAAAGCATGAAAGCCAACATGGATTCAACCTTGTGCTTATCTTTTCCAATCTAAACTGCAAAGCATGCCTGACTATCAACATTATGTCACAAAGCTAGTAGTGTAGAATTGGCAGCACAGCCAGTGACGGGCACACTTCCCCTAGAATGAAATGTGATTTTTTTGTTTTTTATCTGAAATTAAAATTTATAAATTTTCATTTACCTACAAAAACTGGTAATGGCACTAGAATAAGAAAGAAACAATTTAGTGGGGAACATCATTTAGCAATTTTCCAGGTTATGTTTGATAACCCATGTCATTATTTTCATTCATTTCTCCCGCACCATTTCAGTGACTTCTCCACTTCCAACCTGTGTTTCCTCTTCTATCTTTTGAGATTAGTCCACATATTTTAAAGTCCTGAAAGAGTTTGCTGTTGATATAAAGTCAATAGTGAAGAGGGAGAAGAGGTAAAAAGGACTCAGCCTAATCTTACAACTTGACCCCTTTAAAAAAAAAATCTAGGACTCAGAGGAAAAGTGATGTGCTGATGTGTTTCCTGAAAAGCTTTACAGGGTTTGTAGTTTTAAAAGCGGAACTGAAATCACCAAGTCAAATTCTTATGTAATTATATTTGGTTTCCAGGTAAGGTGAAGTGCAGGTTGACTGCATTATCTGTAGGCTGGTTTAGACAGTATGCAAACTGTAGCGAATCCATCAGGGGGGCTGTGACTAATTTAATGTGTGCCACCAATTTGTGCTCAGATGTCTTCATTGCCAGCGATGTCAGGGCCACAAACCTGTAGGCTTTAATGTTAGATATTCTTCTTGAGTTCGAAATAGGTTTGGAATTTTTGAAGCAAGCAGGTACCTTGTTGGGCTGAGTGAAGCATTATAGATGTCCATGAAGACTGGAGTCAGTTGTTATGAGCAGTGACTTAGTGAGGGGTTAGATGTGTGGGCCTACTGTTTTGTTTTTCTCCAGTTTAAAAAGTACCATACCTCTGTGAATAGTGGTGAGAGGTTGGGAATAGCTATTTTAAAAAAAAGCACTCAAACTGTCTGGTAGTTCAGGATCTGCCTTGGATGGGGTAGCTTAGTGTCAGCAATTGACAGCAGCTAGATTTGAAAACTGAGGCTGTGTCCACATTGGCAGCGATGCGGTGATCAGAGACCACAGGTCATTTAAAGTCACTAGAGGCGAAATAACTGCTGGTGGCACAAAGTGAGTGGGTCACAAGATCAGCTTCTCTCTTAACTTAAGGAGAGCAATTGAAGTGGCTACCAATGACAGCAAAGGATACCGCTGATTGACGAACGACCTGGGAGTAAATACTATAGGGTTACCTAGGCAACCCAACAAGACTGGAACATTGACAAGCCAAAATGGTTCAAAATCTTTCAGCTCCAATATAATGACCAAGGTGGTTGTTCTCCCAGGTCCTCCTGAAAAAGAGGTTTTATTTTAGCAGGAAATTAGCATGCTAGTTTCCATTTAAGATTGCTTCTGACAGAAGCATTTTTA